TAAATTATTAATTCACCACAGTCTTGGATGTAATGTATTTTTCATACAAGTTTCTTTTTTCTGTGATCCTACGGTAGCAACTACTATTACTCTGCAGTTCCTGACAATATGTTTTCATACTTGAAATTAACGGACACCCTGTCCTGTGGTTTACTTCTTCCTTTCCAAGCCAATAATAGTCTAATTAATCCTCTAAATCCTAAACTTCCATAGAGGAAGTTATGTTTCCATAATATTTCATCTGATGATGTTATAATTCCTAGATAGTACCTCTAATATATTCTAGTTCGACCACTAACTGATTAGTTTCCCTTGAAGATGTACAGATACTCTGTTTTAACATAATTTGCATATCCTCATCCGCTATGGCATCTATAAATTGGTAGCTTTCTAACAAATCAATGGGATAAGATAACTGACCACGTTTTCTACATCCTACGTAACATCAGCTAATGGTCTTGTCATTCCTCCTTATTCTGATCCAAAACTTTGCTGTAGAAACTTCCTTCTGATGTAACAATCCAAATCTGTTTGATAATAGTGGTAGTTGTCATAGTTCTCTGTAGGAAGGATGTTTAATATCATTAAAGCTGGTCCTTTTAAGTGTACAGCAAGATAAACAGCTTGTCATTTTATATTCAATCTATTGATATTTGAAATTATATTAAATCATGCATAATACACTTCCCATGGTAAGTTTCCCTCATAATTTGTCAATTTTGAATGAGGTTGTGTTGTAGCTGGAGTAGTCCAGGAAAGTCCTGCAGTTGTAGGCTAGATGGATTCTCCTATTCCATACGCATTGTTAATGATGCCAGAGATTGCAATTCTTGAGCAGAGGCAAGAGAGGTGTGTGTGTGTGTGTGTGTGGTTGGTTTAATCCTGAATAATTTATCTTAACACTGATGTCCTTTTGTACTTCCTTTTTCACTTCATTCATTTTGTTTTAAGCTTCCATTTATATTTTGTTTGTGTAACTCTTTGATTTCATTATAATCTTTTTGTATATTTTCCATGGCTTCCTCAATCTTGCCTTTGATCAACTTTATTTTTGTTTCTAGTTCTTCTGTAAATCTCATGTCTCATTCTTGTAATTCCTTTCTTAAATTCTCAGCACTTTCTTGATCTTCTTTAAATTTTAAGTAATTTTCATTTTGATCTTTACATTTGCTGTCTCTTTTTTTATCTTCTTTCTACTGTTTCATCATTCCATTAAATTTTCAATCTCACTCTAAGCATGGGATCCTCTTGAAGATGAGCTTTGCTTCTATTTTATTTGTACCAAAATAATCCCACTCCTGATACAATTGTTGTATGGTTTCTTTTGTTTAAGATGACAGTCTAGCTTAATAGTTTCTAAAATTTTAATATGTTGAAATAATTAATAGTTGATGAACAAGTTTATAAAAATCTAATTAAATGACAATATTAAGTACTAATGTGGATTTCAAATAACAAACACAAATTAGTTAATTATCTTTTCAATGAACTTGCATCTCCCTAAACAGTTCCAGTCTGTACTTAATAAACAAGCTTTATAATCAGATTGATGATTTAAAATATTGTTTTAAAGGTTATCCGAAGCTAAGAAAATGTTTTCTTTATCATCTTGAGTAGAAATAGTTAAAAACTATATCCTGAAGAATTTAAAACATTATTCCAGTAATGGTGAATCCTTTTGAGTTTGAGTGCCATAAAAGTAAAAATAACACTGCAATAAAATTTTCAAGTAAATTTATTTATCCATTTAACTAATAATACATGATAACTTAATTTTTTATTTAGTAACCTCAGTAAGATTTCTGCTGCTGCTGCACTGTGGATGACAGCCATTTTATGTTACATGTATATTTTGTGATTTCCTATGCCACAAAGTAATGCTTGTGTCATCAGTTGGCCTGTTTCTTGTACATTAAAAAAGTTCACAGTAGAGAACAAATATTCACATTAGTAATTGGATAAAAAGACTGATAAAATTGTTATTGCTACATTTCTCAGTGAGTTGAATGTTTCAGAAATAGTGTTCTACACTTTTGGTACTTTGTTTTCAACATTTCTGTGCATTACTCCTGTTAATGAACCTCATTAAATTGTTTTTGTTTCTCTCATAAGTCAACAAACTTTGGCTTTTGAATTGAGCTTTACTGTAACTCAACTACTTGTATTTCAAAATCATTTACATCCATCCAGTGAAACATTTCCAAATTTAAATTTCTAAAATAACAGAATCAAGATATTTTATGAATTTTGTAGTTTCTTCAAGTTTTCTGAAATGCACAAATCATGTTGAAAACTCTTCTACTAGGGTTGTACTAATTATTTCTGAAAACAGTTTCAGGAGTTTTCAGTGTCCACTTTTTCATGGATTTTGAGTTCTGTAAAATGTTTTTGCAAGTGGGAGAAATATTAGGTCGTCAAGAAATTAATGTCGCTTTATATAATCAAAGCAAAACATTTATTAAATGAAATAGTCTCCATTCTTTTTCACCTTACAATCAGGTTGTTAATGCCCTGATTAAAGAAATCACTTAACTCTGAAGCAAAAAACATGTTAATGTCCTCTTTAACACCTTCCATATTTGCATACGTTTTCCAATTAAGATGGTGTTGCAGCAAACGAAAATGATGGTGATCTGATTGAGAATATATTGGGTGGGGGAGAAATTCCCAACCCAACTCCATAATCTTGAGTTGCATCAAACGTGCCACATGTGAACATGCACTGTCGTGGAGAAGAAGAACACCTTTCCGATTAACAAGTGAAGGGCTTGAGTTAAACGTTCCAAATGCTGACTATAGATCTCTGCATCTTTTTCCATGGATGGAGTCCAGGTTTTGGGGTCGGAAGTGGTTTTTGTCTAGGACTCAGCCATTGTTTTTGGTATTTAATGTACGGTACAGCAGAACACACTGTGAAATGGCCCTGAAATTG